GAGAGAGAGAGAGAGAGAGAGAGAGAGAGAGAGAGAGAGAGAGAGAGAGAGAGAGAGAGAGAGAGACTCTGAACCATGACACTTGAACAGTCACTTTACAACATATGGTCTGTTATTTATGATACACAATTGTACAATCCCTTGTAATGCTCATCTTTGTCTGATTGGTCATAGAGCGACTATGTTATGAAAAAAACACCATCCGTGGTTTTCCTCAATGCAAGGTTGGCTAGTGCGTGTCACTCTCTCTCTCATGCCACCATGTTGTAAAATTTGTGTCACGCAGTAGTGAACCGTGCTTGTAGCAGGGCAGCTCAGCATTTACCTGAGGCTCCCTCACGCGTCCATCCATAGAATGAAGCACAGCAATCCTACGGACTCGAAAAAGAAGGTTGGTTAGTGCGTGCCACTCTCTCTCGCGGACGACCATGTTGGTAAATTTGTGGCCCGCAGTAGTCAACCGAGCTTATAGCAGAGCATCTCAACATTTAATTGAGGCTCCCACACGCGTCCGTCCATAGAATGAAGTACAACAATCCTACAGACTCGAAAAGGAAGGTTGGCTACTGCGTGCCACTCTCTCTCGCGGACTGCCATGTTGGTAAATTTGTGTCATGCAGTAGTGAACCGTGCTTGTAGTAGGACAACTTAGCATTTAATCGATGCCCCCTCACTCGTCCGTCACCAAAATGAAATACCGCAATCCAGCACCAATCATGGTCCAAAGGTTGGTTACTGCGGGCCAATGTCTGTCTCGCACTGCCATGTTGGTGAATTTGTGTCACGCAGTAGTGAGCCCTGCTTGCAGCTCTCTCTCTCTTTTTTTTTTTTCTCTCTCTCTCTTTTTATCTTCAGTCATTGTGGTCGTTGCATGTGAGGAGTACTGAAAGACTCAACGATTGACATTTGCGAAAGACCATAGCATATCGTGCAACAAGAGAAAATGACGGGAAGAAACCGCGAAAACCGACGACCTGAGCCAAAAATTTTGATATTTTCCCCCAACACAGAATGTAACATTCTACAAAAGTTAAACACGTTTTCAACACGTTTCAACAAGTTTTCAACACGTTTCAACAAGTTCTCCACAAGTCTTCAACAAGTTGTCAACAAATGGTCAACAGATGGACGAACATCCTTTCAACAAATGGACACTCCAGTTTAAGTTTTCCCAATGTTTGGTCAGCGTTGGTTTCCTTCACTTCTGGTGGAACACATGACCCCCTCCCCCCTAAACAATTTATAAACACGGTTCCAACGGTTGAAATATGGTATCCACATGTGATCATCCTGTCAAAAAATTTGCCACAATTTTTCTGTTGGGGACACTTGTTGTGTCGGCGGTTGCAACGGTCTCATAGGTTGAGTTGGTTGAGTTTGGGGTGCTGGAGGCCTAGGCGGCATCATGCGCACCTGTGGATCAAAATAACTGCCTTGTGCCCATGATATATATGGATTATAGATTGCCCACAGACTCATTTAATGGCATGGTGTCCACTGCCCATATAAGACCTGCTCAGCCGACAGAGGGCTCTTTCTCGTTGCTTTATCTACCGACCCTTGTGGGGTGACCGCTACTTGCTGCGAACATTGTCCCTTTTCGGTTCCTTGACCTCCCTGCGCTAGGTTCCTCACTTTCCACTGAGCCTTCGTCAACTTGGGAAGGTTACGCTCCTCCTTTACTTCAATCCCCTTTTTACCTTCAACTCTTCCTTGAGCACTGGTCCGCCTTCTCGGGATTCCCTTGAGGAAAAATGACCCTTTGTCACCACCCTCAGCTCCTCCTTTATCCTCACCAACCGGCTCACTTGAGACACTCTCTAAAACCTTCCGTTTGTCCTTCCTGTCCTCTTCCAGTTGCATCAACCTTTCTTCCAGTATTCCAACTTGCCTCTGTATACCACTCAATTTTCCTGGTGCTGATGCAACTCCAGCTGATTGCACAGGGTTCCCGCGATGTGGACTCTTTATTCCACCTTCTGAAAACCTTAACCTCAAAGAAGCCTCCAACTCGCCCCAGGTCTGCGACTTTAACATAAGAGTACACACCTCCTCACTCAAATTTTCACAGACAAACAATGATAACATGCTCCACATCGCCTTTTCGTCCCAAATCTTCACAGCACTGAAGTCATGATAGCCGCGTAGGAAGGCAGATAAAATTTTCCCCTGAAACAGTAGGGCACGAAGGTCTGGGGGCATTGAGTCGTGTACGAACTCGCATAAGGCACGAGCTCCTCCAATGCAGGATTTTGACAAAACCACTTTCTTTAGTAATGATGTTGGTATCGACCTGACACACATAACAAACAATCGCTCATTAGACTGTGGTGCAAGAAGGCTCAAAACAAATAAGGCTAGAAAAAACTGCTAATACTCAATTCACACTAACTACTTTCCTGTTCACACCACAAGGTCTAAATTTTAGTCACCCTTGCTTTAACTTTAAGGGTACTATGAAAAATATACAACCTATATAGGCAGGATTTTCAAGCCAGTCATAAGCCGACTGTAATCGTGGCTACAAATGTTATTGACCCTCGCACTCGCACTTGACAGAGCGTGAGGGTACTCTCTATCTGCCCGCTACCGTCCGAATCTCGTCCCAATCTACAACCCTTTCATCTGGATCGTGGAAGCCAGCATAGGTATAAACAATATTGATCATATTCATGAGCCCTTGATTATGGGGTATAAACCTTTGGTCCAGGTACATACCAATATCAGCTCTCATATGTACCGTGCATATCCCCATTCCCGTGTTTTCAAAGTGGCTTCTGCTGCGGCTTCTACTCTTATCTGTCCCCCAAAACACTTTTCCACAAGGAAACAGGGCAGGACGACACGAAACGGGGCTGAGGGAAGTACAAACTTGTCATCTCACTTGACTTCTATATGAGTCTCCATATGTGTCTCTCCTTCATGAACCCTACCTCTCGCCCACCTTGCTGCAGCTGACTCTGCTATTCTCAAAGGCCTTGCGAGTAGGCTTTCATACCCAAGGGCCAATTCAATCCCATGTAAGACCTAGAATGATGGCGGGGCGTATAGGGTTACCCTCACGATCGCACAACCTTGATTATCATCAAAACCGGACTCGATCCAAACGAAGATACCCTTGTCTATCAATGCACCCCACTTGGAAGAGATATATTCTCCTTCCTTGACTCACCTCGGCAGGATATCTCTAGTCCATCTTCCCTTTTTATAAGCAAATTCATATTAGGGTCTTCCTGAGCATAAGGCAACCTGAGTTGCTTTCGTTCTGGCCTGGGTTCTGCCCATCACAGAAAAACGTTCAGCATACGCCTTCCGTTATTATGTTGACAATCGTGTTCTACAATCTCTATCTCTAAGGCCTTAGCCTCAAATCATCTTTCACTAAAATGCATCATTTCTAGCGTTTATGACCTCCCAGCTTAAAAAAAATAATAATGGTAATATATCATGGTAATCAGGGTAACCGGCGTTCGGGACGGGCCGAACGCCCGAACCCGAACGCCCGAACCTATGGGATCCTTTAGGGATGCGTTCGGCCGTTCGGGCCGAACGCAGACCCAAAACAAAAATAAAAAATAAAAAAAATCATCAAAAAAATCTGAAAAAGAGATATGTTATGGAAAA